CGACTCGACGCCGCTGAGATCGGAGATCAAGCTCTGACAGGTCGCACGTCGCTCCTTTGACGCCGACGTGATTTACCCGTGCAGATCACATCAGGACACGGTCTCGACGCGCTCAGTACGACGCCTGCGACCCGTCTCGGGTCAGGTGGCACGACGCTCATCGCGCCCGCCAGCGCTGCCGTGCAGGCTGCCACGTCGAGGTCGAGCACGCTTCTATACGCTTGCCGAGCCTTCCTTTCCATCCCATTAGGCAGCCTGGGAACGGTGGCGATCAGAGGCAAAGCCTACGAGGGGTGGTGGAACCACATGTCACGGCTACTGCCGGCTCGACCCCACGATAGCCTCCGAAGGCTGACTTTGAGGCACCATCATCGGACGATGTCGACGAGTTGGGTCGCTCTCGCGGTAGCCAGATGACCTCTCATACTAGGATCATCGGCCATGGCCGCAGGGAGCGCGGGGGAGGGCGCTGGATGCAACACGGAGCTCCGTTGGAGACGTTTTCAAGATTAGCGTGTCAGAGTGAAATGGCACTAGCCAAAAAACTGTGCACCAAAATGCAAAAAAACCGAGCCGCGTTAACGTGTTCGTGTATAACTATAAGCTATTAATAAATAAATAAATAAAACGGGCAAACTCTGAGACGAGATGGGATTTAGGGACATGTGTCCCCGCCCTGCACGATCTTGGTGTGAGGGATCTTCAATCCGTGTCCCCTCACCCCTCGTCACAACCCGACACGGAAGAGCGGCAAGAGTTGGGGCTGCGGCTACGGCTGCGGCTATGAGAGGGGCCGGGGTCGCGGCAGAGCCGCTGCGCCGCGTGGACGCGCCTACACCGCTCTTGCTCCGCTCGCCACCTCTCGCAAAGGTCCAAAGCCATAGCCACCACCTCCTCCGGCAAGTCCTTTCGCCGTATCTCGCCGTCCCTCCACGCCTGGAAGATCTCGTCGTCATAGCCGTATTGCATCACAGCCTGCTGAACTGCGTCGTGTACGACCCCTGCCGTCCTATCCTGCGCCTCAGCGTCGGAAAAGTCGAACTCGGAGTCATACTCGGAAGCAGGCACAGACGGCCGCGGTGATTTGGCAGGCGGCGAGGAGGGGGAGGGGGAGCGCGGCGGTGCGCGCTCGTGGCTCCCGCTGGTGCCAGAAGGGCCAGCGCCCAGCGCGCTCAGCCTGTTCTTGTTCACCTTGGGAGAGGGGGGTGGGGGTCCACCTCCCTTGGGTGCGGGCTGGCGGTCAGGCTTGCGCTTGACCGCCTTGCCCGGCGGCTTGCGGCCAGGGTTCCTAATGGTGAACCTGTCCGGCATGCCGCCCTTCCCAACCCTGGTCCACCCCTCGGGCGACTCGTTGGGCTGGGGTTGCTGCATCTGTTGGTGCTGTGGGTGTGCCTGCGGTGCTGCGGCCGGAGCTGCAGCGGCGGCAGGCGGTGCTGCGGGCGGTGCCGCGGCGGAGGTGGCAGCAGGCACAGGCTGCGGTGGGGCACTGCCCTCCTTGGCCTGCTGCCGCTCCCTGTCCCTCTCCCACTGGGACTGGGGCTGGACAATGAACTGCTTGCCCATGGGCGTCGGGTTGACGCTGAAGCTCCACCAGTTGCGCTCCACGGCGAGCTGCGAGAGGATGCGAATCATCGCCTCGTCTTGCGGCGCCACCGCCTCTCCTGTGGCTTGCGCGCACAGTTTGAGCCTGGCCGCAACGGACGGGCCATCGCGAGCGTCGGCCATGGCCCCGTTTCTCGCCGTTTTGTAAAGTTTGGCACTATAAGCTATAACGAGCCCGTACTCTCCGATAAAAACACCGGCATCCTCAGATCGGATCGCACCTCTCAAGGCCCTTGAGGGATCCCTTGAGCCTTGTCACAAGGCCTATATGCGAAAATGGAGCACTTGGATGGTGCTCTGAGCATTAATTTTGAGGTCGGTCGGGAGTCGGTCGACCCTCCGTGCTCGGACGCTCTAGACGGTCTGTGTGCGTCCCTGTCTCCCTGAGACGAGTTCATTTTAAACCTGGATGGAGGATGGAAGTTCACAGATAGGAAAGTTGAAAAGAAACAATAAGCTGCACAGGACGACAGTGTCAGTGAGGGTGTGAGAGGTAGAACCTAGCCGCCCCACACCAGGAGGTCTTGCACTGACCTTGTTAAAGAAAATAACTGCGTCGTTATCAGAAGAGGGGGGGGGGGGGGGGGGGGCGAGCGGCGGGGATCGGCTGGCGGAGAACAGGGACACATGTAGCCCGGCCGGTTAGGCCGCGGCACAGGAGACCTGGCGAGCGCCGCGAGGCCAGTCGGGGCGTGGCGGCGTTAGCGGGGCATTTTTGGGCGCGGGTCGAGGTGAAGGGGCCCCGGGGCGTGAACCGAGATTCATGTCACAGACTCGCGACGACGGATAAGACGGAAGAGGAGTGGTATGTGGGAGATGACTGTCGTTTGAGTAGGAAAGAGTTATATGGTTTAAGTTATGCCTAGAAGTATGCGCGCGGTGTGTGTGCGGACCTGCCTGCTGCAGTGCGTCGTACTGTATAATTAATGCCTCCCCTCTGACGCTTGCTGCGCGATAATCTATTGAGCGAGACAATGAGAGGTTGCGGAGGACAGGTGCGAGGGGCTGGATTCACAGATTTTCTTCCTCGTCTTAGCGGGAAACCCCCTCTTTAAGTTTTGTCCTGGTTTTCGCGCGCTGTGAAGTCGGTCTGTGAGGAGAGCCACTCAGAGAGGTCTGGGCGGGCGGGGCAGGGCGCCGACGGACCTCAGGTGTCATGAGCTGCGCGTGTGAGCAGTGAGGGAAACCACGCTGTGGAGTGGGTTTAATGAGCATTACGCCCTTGCCGTCCCCTCCATCACCGGACACCGCCGCCGCCTCACAACCACCTCCTTGTGACATTAAGAGTGGGTTTAATGCGCAAGAAAAGTTAAAGTTGCTCCCGGCCCAGTGGGGATTTTGGCATCACGGCCCCGTAACACCCATGTGCATGTGCATGTGCATGCACAGGTATTCACGCCAACCTCGTACAACTCATCCCCGTCATTTTGTATGACGCGCCTGGTAGGAAGCCCCCGATTCACGGCTTCTTTGTCAGCTTGATGACATGCGAGCCAAACTTGGTCTTCACGAGGCCGAGCTCGCCGACGACAGTGTCGGGATCAAAACAGTAATCGTTGAAGGCTCCAACCATCTGGCCCGGTCCAAAGGTACCGAGGTCCCCACCCTTTGCCCCGGACGGACAGGTGGAGAACTCACGCGCTGCGTCGGCGAAGTTCACCTGCCCTGCCTCAATCTGAGCTTTGATGCGCTGGGCGCGTGCGTTGTCCGAGACGAGGATGTGCGATGCGCCCGCCTTGCCGAAGGCGAGAAAGTCAAACACGCCTGCGCGCGCGGAGGCATGGCGAGCCGCTGTGCGCTGGGCGGGCAGCCCGGCAAGCCCGGCGGGCGTGAAGGCGGTTCCAGCGGCGAAGATCATCAGTATTCCGAAGGACATCATCAGCAGGGCCTCACGATCGTCGCTCACACCCCAGCGAAGGGTCTCTCCTCGAAGGGACACACCTCTGCCAAAAAGAATTTAGCCAGCGAGCTAGCACAGGGGACGATCGCGAGGTGGCATGAAGGTTGCAGCGAGAATCGGCGAGGGACTGCAAAGAGAGATAGGAAGAGGCAGACGCCCAAGGGTGGGCGCGACGGCTAGAACTCCACACCCCTCTCCTCAAAATCCCTGTGTGGTGGCGGCGTGCCGTCCTCCCGTCCCTGCCTTTGGGTTGTCTGTGTTATCTTTCTTCCTTAGAGCTTAGTTTCATTAGCACAGATACACCACGTGCGCCGTGTTGTGCAAAAAAGAAACGGCCTGGCCTTCTCCCCACAGAACTCTCGCACAGCATTGGGCACGGGACTGGCGCGCACTGGCACGGACCCTAAGCTAATCACGTCTCACACGGCGCGGCCGGCCCTAGCTAGATCTCCGCAGCAACCGCCTGGCGCTTCTTCTCCGCAACCTGTTCCGGTGTGAGGACCCCGAGCTCGATCAGGCGCTCGGTGAGGAACGCGTCCGCTGTGGCGTACTTTGGCGAGAGGTACGTCGAAGAGAAGGGGTGCAGGAACGTGGGGATGCTCATCCGGTCAGAGCTCACGTCCTCGTCCGCGGGCACAACAACGCGGTGTGAGGTTGCGCGGTACTCGCCGTTGGACATCTGCTCGAGCATGTCGCCGATGTTGATGATGAGCGCCTCCGGCACGAGGGGCACCTCGCGCCACTCGCCCGTCCTACAGGGCATGCGAAGAGCTTCTCCTGGACAGGCCTCCAGCTGGACGGGCGGGACGAGGCGCGAGCCCTCCTGTGGTCCCTCAGCTCGAGCCCTCTCGCCGAGCCGGACGGCAGCAGCGTGATCAGGTTGATGTCCTCGTGCGCAGAGGCGCGGGTGGCACCCGGCGCGGCGAGCTCAGGGTCATACGGCGGGTACCGCAGGATCCGCATCATCGTGTTTGTGGGGTCCAGCGTCTCCGCCAGCCGGGTCACGTTGTTGGTGCGCAGCTGCTCGCGCGTCGCCGCGTCCATGTGCTCGTCGATCCACTGGAGCAGCTCCCTTCCCAGCTCGAGCATCTGGTGGAAGAGGACGCGCGCCCGGTCGGACACCTCCTCCGGGTAGCGGCCCCGCGGGAAGTACAGCTGGTAGTACTGCTTCAGGTCCTGAAGCGTCTGGCCCTTCGCCGACTCCGCACGCGCCATACTGAAATAGCCGTCCTGCGTTTCCATGCTGCGCTCGTACTTGGCCTGGTCGGCGAGGCCGGAGGTGAGGAACTCGCGCCACTCGTCGTACACCTGCTCGATCAGCGAGTACTTGATCGGGTGGTTGGTCAGGACCGCAAAACCAGTGGCTTTGAGCGACTGCGCGAAGTCGCCGGGCGCGCCGCCCGAGGTGTAGTCGACTACGGACACGTCGCCACCAAGCCTGAGCGGCGTCTCCGACAAGACAAGCGCGCCGAGGAGGAGCGGCGAGGCCATAGAGCACGCGTACGCCGCGTACGCCGGTACCGCGAAAAACGGCAACAGATGAAGAAAGAGAGCGCGGAGAGCTGCGACGAAAGGCGAGATGAAGGTTGCAGCGAGAATCGGCGCGAGACTGCGAAGAGAGATAGGAAGAGGCAGACTCCCTAGGGTGGGCGACGGATAGCGCACCACACACCTCTCCTTAAAATCCCTGTGTGGTGGCGGCGTGCCGTCCTCCCATCCCTCCCTTGGGTTGTCTGTTTTCTTTCTTTTAGGCGAGAGAAGAAGCGTAGAAAAAGGATCGGCAGGCGGCGGCGGCGTCGCTGGACGAGGCAGAGGAGAGCGACGCGACAGAGGAAGAAGCGACAAGAGAGAGAACGACGAGAGTGGGACGACCGCGAGGTGGCATGAAGGTTGCAGCGAGAATCGGCGAGGGACTGCGAAGAGAGATAGGAAGAGGCAGACTCCCTAGGTAGGGCTAGCGCATCACACCCCTCTCCTTAAAATCCCTGTGTGGTGGCGGCGTGCCGTCCTCCCATCCCTCCCTTGGGTTGAGTGTTTTCTTTCTTTCTTTTTACACAGGTACACCGGAGAAGAGAGAGAGAGATTTTTGAAGACCAACAAGAAATCACGACTCTCACAGAGATTTGGGCTCGGCAGCTTGTCAGCCCTCAGCCGAAGCTGGGGCCGGTCCCGTAGCCGAGAGAGCCCGCGCCGTTGAGTTCGACGCGGTCGGGGGGCCTTGCGGAGAGGCCAGCGAGGTGGCGATCGCTGTACTTCATGGTGCCCTCGGTGGGGCGGCTGACAAGCCAGAGGTCGATACTCTGGACGACCCATAGGATGCCACGAATGCCTGGAGGAGAGGGAGGCGAGGCCAGAGGCAGACTCAGCTGCTCTCGGGTGATCTCGCTTTGGTGGCCGAAGGACCCGATGGTCCTGTCACATTCGTGTTCCGAGTCGTACGGGTAGAAGATTGCGGGAAGGCATCGAGTCAGCACATCCTTGTAGTGCAGCGGACCGCCAGGCTCGCCGGCAGCATCCGCAGGGAGGCAGCATATGAGGCACCAGTCTTCTGGAGAGCTCAACAGCTGCGGCCACGATGGCGGAGTCGGCCGCGGTTCGAGCGAGCAGCTTTTGGCTGCGGGATCGAATCGCGGAAGGCTCATGCCCTCGCGGAGCGACGCGGGTCGCGCGGCGCGCGCGTGTGCGAAATGCGACAACAGACGACAGACGACAGACGACAGACGCCTGAGCGCTGTACGACTGAACGACCGTCGCCGCAATCGCCACCGCCGCCATTTTGACGAGCAGCGCGAGCGCGCTCGTCGGCGGCCAGCCGTCGCGGGCCGGGCCGAGCCCGGCCTCAACCGGCCGCGCCGCCGCAGCAGGCCCGGAGGCCCACATGGCGGCCGACAGCTGATAGGAGTCTTCTCGTCTTCTCTCCCCCCCCCCCCCCCGAGAAGTGAATTTTCGAACGAAACGCTCTCTCACAACACTAGGGTCTTGGCTGCATGGGACTGGCGGGAAAAGAGAATTTTTGTTGGGTCCCAAAGCTCTCTTCTGACTTCTCTCTGTACAAGCATGCCGAGGCGCGGAGATCTTCTCCGAGGCTCCACCCCTGTTGGAGTATAGACCGCTCGTCTATTGCAACAGCCAATCAGCCCTAAATGAAGGTAGTTGTGGATGCTATGTGAAGAATTCCTTTCTCCCGCATCTTTGGGATGTTCGGACTTTTGGTTGGTTGGTTGGGAGTTGGGTGGGAGTTGGGAAGCCGCCCGGCCGGGTTACTCTTTACACTTTAGCGGTACTCGTCTAGCTCTAGGCTGGGGTTGGTCCTGGGTTGGTCTAGGGGCTGGCGGTTGGTTTTTTGGAATAGTTCCTCACGCGCATGCCACATGCGTGTCATGACAGCCTCAATGACAATGTGTCATGCATGACAGCCCTCACGCCTCAGCCGTTGAATTCAAGCGGGGCTGCAGAAGTGTCCGCGTCCGTCCGGGGGGCGGGGGGCATCCACACCCATTAATTAAGCAGGAAGGACCGGATGACCGCGGACGATGAGGGAATTCTGTTTTTTGGGGCAAAGAAGAGCCCACCAAACAAACCCACACCACGCACGCACGAGAGAGAGCGGGCGGGCGGGCGGGCTGCGGGCGGGAGGGAGGCAGGGAGCAGGAGTAGGTAGGTAGGTACAGGGAGCCCCCCCTTTTATGGTTGACCCTGGGCATGGCCTCTCTGGGGGTGAGCTGGGTCGGTCTCCTCCGGGTGTCTGCAACTCGCACGGCGGGTCCGCGTCCGGGCAAGCATCCGAGGCCCGCAGTTGGAGCGGCCGCATATTGCTCGGTACCCCCCGGCCTTTTTAAGCCCAGGGCCGACCCCCCCCCCCAGCAGCAGCGCTCTGCTGCTGGGGGGGTCGGGCCCCCCCCCCCAGCAGCAGCGCTCTGCTGCTGGGGGGGGTCGGACCCCCCCCCCCCAGCAGGAGCGCTCTGCCTGTGGGGGGTGCTGGCATCTCTGTACAGACAGCAGCTGTAAGTAGCATGCGTTCGAGTTGCGAGAATTTATGGTCGGCATCAAAATCAGTGGTCTCACCGGCGGGGCCTCCTACTGCCAACCGGGCGGTGTGGGGCACGCCAGCCTCTCTTCTACGCCTCTCGTGCCTCGCGGCGCCTCTGCTTCAAGGAGGGAAGATACGGCGCTCGCAGCCCATCATACGCCGTGGCACAGCGGAGAGCACAGCGGGCTGTACAAGTCCATCGGATAGTGCTCAATATCTTCGCATGCTCGTCGTAGGTGATATCCCGCGCGAGGTCATACGACAAAGGCCAGCAATCACTCGGTGATGAGACTATTGATGTAGGCGCGACGCTCTGACACCGAGTGTTGCTCGACGCTGCGACACCGCCGAGTACCGCGCAGCGCTCAACCTCGCGGAGTTGCCCTCTCGCTATCATCACCCTTCACGGCGGCCGGGCTCGAAGGCGCGGTGAACACAACCGCCTCGAGCGTACCGCTCAAACACGAGCCGAGGGGGCGGGAGGCCGGGGGCGGCGGGAGGCGGGAGCTGGGTCCAGTGCGCTCTGCTGCTGGGGGGGGGGTCGGGACCCCCCCCCCCAGCAGCAGCAGCGCTCTGCTGCTGGGGGGGTCAGACCCCCCCCCCTAGCAGCAGGGACGGGCTTAAAAGGGCAGGGGGGGTACCGAGCAATGTGCGGCCGCTCTTGTCCTCTCGCAGGGCGCGACCAACATGGAGATCCCCTATGCTCAGATCTGGGCTTTTGTCGACTATTGCTCGCTCTCTGAGCACCTGCAACGTCAGGCACTGTGCTTGGAGAATGCGTCGCAGTGCTGCTGCGCCTGTTGATTGAGCCGCGGCGCAAGCTCCATCGGTGAGCTGCGGTGGCGCGCCGGCCGCTTCATGCATAGCTCTCCGGCGAGCGGCCGCGAACGCGTTTTCCGTCCGCCGTTTCATCGAGTTTGCCCGAGTGGTAAAATGCAATCGTCGAACCTGCCCGAGTGGTAAAGTGCAACTTTGGCATTTGGTAAAAGCTGCCCGAGTGGTCTGTGGGGGAAAAAACCAAAGCGGAAAGGTGGCCTCAAGAGCTAAAGGTCAACATCCCCTCCGGCTACGACAATGTGAACCTGATCTGGTCCTCACGGGGTTGACCCGTCTCCTCCAGATCGAGACGGACTTCATGAACGGCCGGGCAATATTTCTTCATTACTATTTATTAATTAATGTTTTTTGCACGGCTGAGCCCCCCCCCCCCCCCCTTGGTGGGGTTCCCCGGCTTCAAGGGCTTACCCCCCCCCCCCCCCCGCCCCGCCCCCGCCTTTCCTCTTCTCCCCTTCCGTCCCAGCTCCACTCATCCCTCTCTCGCCATCTCCTGCAGGTGCAGGGGAAATACGAAACGAAAATTGATGGGCTTGCCCATCCCGGAGTGGTTCGACCCCACATAAATCCGAGACGGTGACGGGATGCTGTCGTACGATGGTCTCAGGCCCAGTGAGGTAGTGCATCTGACTATCCCGGATCCTGCTGAACAAGCTAGCTCGATCGGTCACCCCGCCATCACCGTCGGGGAGAGGGGGGACGACACTGCTTCGGCAGCGTGCACCTCGATCCTGTACCGTGTTTGTTATGACCCCCCCCAATGAACACACCAGAGAGGGAGGGCGAGACGATCGAGGGGTCCCGTACCACGCGGAATCGACCCTATCCAGTGCTCAAGTGCTCAAGGTACAGGGTAGGAGAGAGAGATTTTTAGCAATACAATACCAAACAACTCTAACACTCACACATCATTTGTTTGTCAGGGTAGGTAGGTAGGTAGGTAGGTAGGGAGCTACATAGGTAGGCAACAATCTCTCTCTAGGTAGGTAGGGAGGGAGGGAGGGACAGACAGAACACACACACAGACAGAGCACAGACAGACAGACAGAGGCTACGACTGTTGCTAGTCTGAAAGTACAACCAAATTGCCTTTCAAACGTGTCAACTCGCCGTTTACCCCAGGAGCGGCTCTCATTTCGACACCTCGGTTCGACACTATAGTGCACTAGGCACACAACTCAAACGAACGGTAATAAGGTAAATCACTGTAACGTCTTGGCCGACCCGTTGGCTCCTCTGTCGTCCCCGGTGCCCGCCAGCAGGCACCCGTACCTGTCCCCGGTGTGCGCTGCCTTCGATGTCGGGCAGCGCCCAGGACTTTCTCAGCAGCTTGTCCTCTCCCGCCTCGAGCTCGGGAAGCGCGCCGCCGCCGCTCGCGCGGCCGCCGCCTCCTGCGAGAACGAACCGGGCGTCAGACTTCCTCTCCAGTGTCAGCTCGTCGAGCCGCGCCGCCTCGCCGGGCCTGTCTCCCGTCGCCAGTCTCACAGGGCTCTCGGCTGCCCCTCCCGGCGACAGCAGGCAGGGCTCGCAGCAGCCGCTGGCGCCGGTCAGCAACCAGGGCTCGCCGAGCACGAGGCAGCCGCCCAGCTCCGGCAGGAGCAGATTGGGAGAGCCGTCGCCGGCGTCGGCCGTGTCCGCCGTGGGGCGTTCAGCTGCCGCCGAAGTCAGCCGCTCGCCGCAGGCACCGTCCCAACCGAGCTCTGCCACTCGGAAAGAGGATGCGAAAGCCTTTATTGCCGCGTCGTCGCCGCCCGCCACACCGGCGCCCCAGCCGCCGACGCAGACGTCGTCGCCGCTCCCTGCGACGCGGGTGCGGCCGCCGTCGGACCCGACGCCGGATGTTCAGTGCACAGCGCCTTTCCGTGACGCCGAGGCGTGCTGGGAGTTCGCGTACCGAAGTCTACAAAGCGGGCGCCAGCCGGGGAACGAGCGCGCTCCAGCAGGCCGCACGACCGTGGCGTACTGCCTGTCCATCGAGGGCGTGGAGGGGGGCACGTTCCCCCCGGCGCTTGTAGCAAGGCTGAAGCGAGAGCCCACCACCTCCGCGCCAGCCGTCTCTCACCGTCTCCTTCTCTCCTTCTTTGACCCGGTCTCGCGCACCTTCTTTGGTGCCACGTGGGAGTCGCCTCCCAGGCGGATTCCCGACCCGCTCGTCGATGCAGCATCCGCTGCTGCCGCAAGCCCGCTGCCCATTCAGCATACGATAGACGCGAGCTTCATCTCACAGCTTGATGGAGGCGCGCCTCTCACTTGCCCGCACTGCACGGTGCCTCTTTCAGCTGAGGGCTCCACGCTTTCTTTTGCAGGCGCACTCCTTGTGGTCCAGACGCTCTTCATGCTCCACACCAGCCTTGGAGGGCCGTCCGAAGAGTATGCGGCTGGCTGGACGATTCTTCGCCCCTTTGTGACGCGCGCGGCATCCGGTGACGTAAGCGATGGGAGTAGCGCGGCGATCAAGGCATGCGTCCCACCCCGAGTCCCGTGCTTCTGTGCCTGGCTCTGAGACCCAGCGATCAGCTCCCCGCGAGGGCCCAGCCCCACTGGCTCCCTCGAGTCGCCCGACCCCAACACCCCCGCAGGCGCTGGCGCCGCTCTACCAGGGCTCGCCCCTCGCGCTGCAACACCTCTCGGCTGGTGCTGCCCCTGAGTCGCACCTGCGCTCTGCCGGCGGCGAGCTGCGCTATGCGCTGCGCAAGCAAGCTGCACTCCTTCAAGCAGCTCATCTCCTATCCGAGCATGCCTTTTACTCCTCCTGCGATCCTGTCCCGGGCTTGCTTCCCGGCCAGCGCGACGGATCTACGGGTGCACTCGATCTCTCCGGCCTCTCTGCGCCTCGGCTTCAGGCGACAGTGCCCCTCTACGCCTCAGCCGCCCACCTGAGTATTCTTGATACGAAACCACGACGACACACACCAGTCGACTCGCATCGGTTGCCTCCATGAACGGCGGAGCTATTCTCGCGCCCACACCACACCTGGCTCCAACGTGGACACGCCCATAGCTGGGGACACTACTAGGTCACGCATGGCATCAGAAGTTTTATCTCTGGGCCCCGAAAGGCATCTCTAGCAGTGTCGTTACGCATGCCCCCTCCCATCCTGGGCGCATGCGCCTCACGTCTCGCCAGAGCATAAGCCCTTGGCGTGTGGCGAGACGAGTTTTTCGCCATGCAGCGAGCAGCAAGCCGCCCGCCGCAAACAGCCGGAGGCATCGCCACGGCACTGGCTGCGCCGCGCTCCCGCACCCGTCGACGAAGCTCCCCCCGCGGAAGACCGCGCGTAGCGACGCCTTGTCGATCGAGATGGGCGCGCCTGAAGCTCGCCCACCTACTGCCCCTGAGAGTTGGTTACGAGTGGGATCAGCTCCCCCCCTTGGGATCAAAGCTTCCACGACCTCGCACCCAACATCTCAGGCGGGATCAGAAGGGGACTCCACACCGGACACCGCCCGGGCACAGCCCCCCTACCCGTCGGATCGCACAGGGCCCCCTAGGAGCAGCCCACACACAATCTCGCATCGGCAGATTGCGCCTGAGTCAGGCAGACAGCAGACAAGGAGAGGAGAGAGGAGAGAGAGAGAGAGACGAGAGAGGAGAGGGTGAGGGTGTGTGCACACGTGTGGAGCAGGGAGGGTGTCTGTGGTGGGCTATAGTCATACTACGTGGTTAGAACCACGCGCCCCTCAGGAGCTAAGGTAGAGCTGAGCGTCCAAGACGCCTCGGTCCCTCCCACCGGCGTGAAGACCATCCGGATCTACCGGACGCGCCCTCCGGGCGGGTCCGTCCCCGCGATGGCCCACAGTCCTCCGTCGCCAGGTCGAACCCCCTGCCTCCCGGTTGAACCCCCAGTCCTTGTAGTCCATCATGAAATAAACTCAAAGATCCACCACAGCCACCACCCTCCGCCTCCACCGTCGAGCCGCGATCGCTGCCGCCCGCGACGCCGCCCGCCGCGTCAGATTGCCGCGACGCGCGCCTCGAGTCGAGGCGGAGAGCCGCGCCGCACCAGCAGCAGCATCAGCACCAGCAGCACCAGCACCACCAGCACCAGCAGCACCAGAGAGAGGCGAAACCTGCCCGACGCCGCCGTGTCAGATGCTCCCGACGCGCGTCTCGAGCCGAGTCGCAGAGCCGCGCCGCGCCAGCAGCAGCATATGCACCAGCAGCAGCAACATCACCACCAGCAGCAGCACCAGAGAGAGACAGTGCAGTGTGACAGCAGCGCAGAAGCGCTCGCAGAGCGGCGCGCAGCGCCGCGCACGCCACGCCGCGGGCGGTCGGACGAGCGCAGCGTACGTCGGCCGCGAGCCGCGTCGCCAGCCGTCTCGCGAGAGAGCGGCGCCGCCGCGTGCGCGCAGCAGCCGCCGCGGCAGAGGCGAGCCGCGGCGACGGCCGCACAACCGATAACTGCCATTGGCGGTTTCACACCACACACACACACACACACACACACGTTAGGAGGCGGCCCAAGAGAGATAAATAAATAAAAACGTCCGAGAGAATGCGCTGAATCTTTTGCCACAAGAACCCCCAACGCGCCATCCACCACCCGCCAACGCGCTGGACTTGGCACCAACCGCCAACAGCGTGGCCTTGGCACCTCCTACCAACTCTCGAGCCCAACCCGACATGGATTTTGCCTCAACGGCAACACAAACACAGTCTACCCCCCGCGGACGGCCCGTGGTTAACACGCCGAACCCTATCCCCCGCGAACGGCTCGTGGTCAACTCGCCGAACCCTACCCCCCGCGGACGGCCCGTGGTTAACACGCCGAACCCTATCCCCCGCGAACGGCTCGTGGTCAACTCGCCGAACCCTACCCCCCGCGGACGGCTCGTGGTTAACACGCCGAACCCTATCCCCCGCGAACGGCTCGTGGTCAACTCGCCGAACCCTACCCCCCGCGGACGGCTCGTGGTCAACACGCCGAACCCTTCTCACGAGTCACGTGGCAATGGCGGCTCTGCGAGCTCGACACTCGCCCGCCGCCATTGGGGGGGATGCGCCTACCCTCACCTCGGGTAGATCGTTCACACCTCGCCCCGCGTAATATCCTGATTAGTTAATTGTTCCCGCGTGTTCGTTCGTCCATTCGTATATCTTTATCATCGATCGGTGCAGTGTACGGTTTATATGGAGCAAGACGTAGACATCGCGCACTCGCAGCCCACCGCGCCACCGCGCCGTCGGGCGCCGCCCTCGGTCTCCGAGGGAGCTCAGCTACACCGTCTGGTCATGCGCAATTTTGGTCGCGATTGACACGTGTGAGTCCTCTCACCTCTGCCAGCCGCTCTGGCTCTCGCGCGCTGGCGAGTGGCCCGTGCGAGGGGTGCCGCGTACTTTATGCTACTCACTCGCTCATTCGCGATGGCCCGGCAACCTCTCAAGACCCACCCCACCCGGCCGCCGCCGCTCACTCAGAGGCCCACCAGAGCAGGTAATCCTCGTCGGGCTGCATGTACCTATCGGCCGTGCCGCGGACGCGTGACTGGACGCGACCCGGACGAGCACACCTCCTCGTCGGGGCGCGCACTCGTCGGCAAAATACTTGGCCTTGTGCGCCTGAAGAAACTTGAGCAGCTCCATCAGCTTGGCGACCAGCACCGTCATGTGCTCCCGCTGCAGCTTGGCGTGCGCAAGCAGCTCCTGCGTCGAGGTTTTGCCGTTGGGGCATGCGTCGGCGGCCGGGCGTGGTGACGAGGGGGGGGGGGGGGAGCAAAGCAAAAGGGGCGGCGTCTCGGCTCACTCGGCTACACCGGTGCTACATCTTGTGCTACATCTGTGCTCCCTCTGGGCATTGTTGGCTCCCTCCCGGCAGCGCTGTGCTACATCCCTGCGCTCCCTCTTACGCCCACCGGCAGCTTGACGACTAGGCGGAGCAAGTGCTCTGCGCCGTACAGCTCGACCAGCGGCACCTGCCCACAGCCGGAGGCGTCAAGAGACGCTGCTCGCCACCACCGTCCACGCCTCGACGAGCGGCACGTCGGGCTTCTCGCTGCGCAGCTGCTGCAACTGCCTTCGCTCAAACTTGTACAGCAGGATCGCGCCGAGGGCCTGCAGCAGGCAGAGCCGGTCCTCGGTGGATGGGCCGCAAGCGGCGCCAGGACGGGTTGGATTAGGAGTGGGGCCCCTTCGGCTGCATCTCGGCTGCATCTTGGCTGCATCTCGGCTGCATCTCGGCTGCATCTCGGCTGCATCTGGGCGGCAGCTCGGCTGTGCCTGGTTGAAGTACGAGCGGAGCCCATCGCAGACCTCGGTGTAGAGCCGCTCGTGCGAGGAGCGCTTGGCCTTGGCGGCGACGAACTCGGAGAGGAGCTCGTGCACCTGACGACCACTCCCGGTTCTGAGAGGATGCCACCGCTTCGCCAGGAGGAGGTGTCTCACGTGCCGAAGGGGAGTGTGTCTAGGAAGTGTCTAGGAAGTGTCTAGGAGGTGTCTAGGAGGTGTCTCGCGTGCCGAGGGCGAGCGTGGCAGCGGCACCAGCGCCTGCGGGTGGAGGGGCGGAGAGGAGGGAAGGGGTGGCGGTGCGTCGCCGATGGACGGCAGAGGGGGCTAGCGAGGCGGGCCACGGGGTGTGGGTTAGGTCGGGGGCAAGGCGCCGGCCGCGCCTTTTCCCTCGAGACCCGCTCCCAGTCCTCTATCAGCTTGAGCTTGAGCCCCTGCGGCAGGCGGAGCTGCTCGCGCACCTCGGCGGCGATCGAGTCATCCGCCGGGACCACTCCGCCGCGCGGCCGCTTGTTCGCCACCGCCGCGCCGCCCTCGCCGGGTGCGGCGCCGTCAGCCGCAGGAGGCTCACCAGCCGCGCCCGCGCCATCGGTGCCGCTCCTTTTGTGCTTTTTGAAGGCGCGGTTGAACTCGCGGATGCGCTCCTTTTGGAGCTGCCGCGCGCTTGCGTCGTCCTTCAGCAGCCGCGACTCAGGGACCCACTCGTCCCAGTGGCTTGACCAGCCGTCATAGTGCACGCGATACAGCCGCACCTTTGAGCCGCCGGCGCCGCCGGCACGCTCAGTCTTCTCGAGGATGCGCGCGGGGAAGAGGAGCGGGCCGTGGTACGCCATGATCTCCTCATCAGTGTCGAAAACCACCATGCTCTCTCTCGAGGCTCAAAATGCCGCAATAAGGGTTTCTTTTTTACCTTCTCCAACAGCCACCTCCCTACCTACCCAGTCAACCCTGGAGGCGGATTAGCGGGGTCTGTCCGACTCGCTCGCTGCACGGTTGGCTGCGGCGCTCCGGCGCAAGCCGACGCTCGAGAAGTGGCGCCACTCTGCGTGGCTGCCCTCCGGGCTTGTCCTTGGCTCTCCGACATCGATCGAGCACGCCTGTCCGACGAGCGGCTTGCCGCGCGGGTGGCTTTGTGTGGCTCTTGTCGAGAGCGTTTTGCGGCCCGCCGGCTGAGAGAATATGTGTCGTCTGATGTGTCACTGTGTACGTCATATCAGTCTTGATAACAAGCACGGTCGATCCGTCGAAGCGATATACTCGTCACGTCACGCTGGACGGCTTGCACGGAACTCTGTGCCGGCAAAACAGGAAGAGCCGCGCTGCAAGAAGAGCTCGATAGGGAGCGAGAATCGTCAAAGGCGCTCACGCAGGTTTCGGACGTCCGTCCTGGTGCGGTCAGTTCCCCCCAGGTTTGACCGCGCAGGTCTCAAAACTCGTCGAGCACTCGTAGCCTTTCTGCGACTCTCTGCGTGCTGCCGGCTCGGGAAGAGCAGATTTTGCAAGATATCTCAACGAGATCCGACATCTGCGCGGTCATTTTTGGAGTGATCTTACCGCGTCATGACGGAGTCTTGATACCTCTCGGAGCACCTCTAACGGTTCTCGCTCCCTATCGAGATCTTCTTGCCGGACGGCTCTTCCTGTTTTGCGGGGCGCGCTGAGCTCTGTGTCAAGCTCGAAGGGCAACGGAAACGAGTGCATCGATAGACCGACTGTGCTTGTTACCAAGACCGATCTCACGTACACAATTACACTCCAGACGTCCCGTACTCTCCCATCCGACAACCGGCAAGACGCTGTCGTGAGCCAGCCGCTCTTGCGGCAGCCGTCAGCAGAGACCGAGCGCATCGGGCGAGTGGAAATCGAGATGGCGAGCCGGCCGTGGGCCCGGACGACGGCGCTGGAGCGACAGATTTTGGCTGAGGCTCCGAGGAGGCGAGAGCGAGCTCTAGAGGTGAATCACGTGTTTTGGCTCTAGGGCCAGCTCGGCTAATCCTCAGCTTAGTTGGCTGGTCTAGGCTGTTAACAAAGGCTTTCGGCTTCAGCTTGGTATAGATATAGTAGTGAGTCTGACGGCGACCTTTCTTTACGGCGGCGAGCAGAATCGCGAGATATCTCCTATAGACTCTCGAAGGGGAGCACAACGCGCACCACTCGAGGCAGCGCATGGCTCCGCCTTCCGCCTCGGGCTCGGCGCGGAGCTTGCTGGCGCAGAAAAATTTACACCCAGGAAGATTCTTCCGGTCTTGTGGTACATGTCCTCTATCGCCTCGATCGACCTTCCTCGCATCCTCGGTCGGCTACGACCTACGTCCGTACGTACGACCTAAGCGCTAAGGCTCTGTGTATGCAGCGCGGTATGGGTGGGTGGACGCGAGACAGGGAGTTGACGGCACGCTCGAGCGACACACAGACACACAAACTCACAAGGGCTCTGCCCGCAAGGCGCCCGCGCAGACGCGGTCGGTACCAATGACAAATGCGGTCGGTACCAATGGAATACCCCCACACAAACAGATAGCAAAATCCGAATACATGTACTCGCATAATGTGGGTAAACGAAAGTACCGTACCGTATTCGCCGTACTATCAAGAAAGACACCGAAAAAAGTCGCCGTAGCAGTCCACGACCAGCCAGCCTGCTGCCGGCTCGCACGGCAGCCTCTTCCTATGGACCAGCCTCGACTTCCATACAGTCAACATTTTGTCGCTGCGTGCTCGTGGTGAGCTGTGGCGGCGGTCGAAGTTCGCCCAGATTCGGTGACGAGCGCCGGACGATAGTACCGCCTCTGTTCGCCCATGGAGGAGGAGGGCGCAGTCGGCGAATTGGAGGAGGAGGAGGGCGCAGGCGACGAATGGGAGGAGGAGGGCAGTCGGCGTTGTCGTGTCTGATTCAGAGGAGGAGTTGGAGGTGCTCCGGCAACCTGGCATGATTGAGCAGCTTACCGCTGTTGTCACTCAACGTGCGTCATGCGTGATCGAGCTTGAGGGAGGAGCTCCGCTAACGATTCGGCCAGCAACCCAACGCCGCCGCCCATACCCGCCACCCACAAAGCACCTGCTCTACTAGGAATCCCATACCACCCTCCCCACTTTCCACTGATCATGCCCGTGATAGCACCATCACTGCCGCCGTCCTGGTTTTGAACGTGGCAGCTAGGCGAAGGGACTCGGTAGAGAGGGTAGTTGTGACCCCCCTGCCTGAGTGAAATAAATAAAGAAAGAAAACGGTCAAACTCTGAGACGAGATGGGATTTAGGGACATGTGTCCCCGCCCCCTGCACGATCTTGGTGTGGGGGATCTATTCAATCCGGGTCTCCCCTTGAGCACTTGAGCACTGGATAGGGTCGATTCCGCATGGAGGAGGCTGCGCTGCGCAAGCACGGGCGGGAGGGGTTTCTCCTGCGGAGTCGTGCGTGCGCGGGGCTCCTCTTTGCGAATACTCCCTACATACGTCTCGTACCCGTTCTAACCAGAGAACGCATGGTACGGGACCCCTCGATCGTCTCGCCCTCCCTCGCTGGTGTGTTCATTGGGGGGGGTCATGACAAAAACACGGTGCAGGATCGAGGTGCACGCTGCCGAAGCAGTGTCGTCTCACAACCCCTGGTCACTCCCCGACACTAGGAAGAGCGGCGAGTGGGGCTGCGCTAGGGGCTGCGGCTACGGGTGCGGCTGCGAGAGGGGCTGCGGTCGCGGGAGAGCCGCTGCGCCGCGTGGACGCGCCTACACCGCTCTTGCTCCGCTCGCCACCTCTCACAAAGGTCCAACCCGTCCAAGGCGGCCTGACGTGAGGAGCAGAGGACAGAGCGAGCTTTTGTGGTGTTGGCGTACGCAATAACGGAGTGATTCTAAGATCAGGTTAGGCGAGTGGCAGACATTTCAAAAAATGGGCGCCGCAGGCGCCCCGGCGCTGCGTGCCCACCATGGTTGGGCGCGCAGCGAAGAAAATATTGCGCGCTCGACAGCCTTTTCTAATAGGAAAATGGCCTCTCCTCGGCGCCATCCATACCGCTTGTCGGCGCACAGCGGAGTTCGCAAGCCGGACCTGCTGCCTTCCCTTCTACGTACACTTTCAGAATGGAGGCTCAAACGCAGCGCAGGGCTCGGCTAGCTGTGCTCAGACCAAGTCGATTTGTACCAAAGTTGGTAGACAGTGCCAAAACCACACGGAATCGAAAATGGCTCTTAAATTCGCGCACCTGGCGTCCGCACTGCCGCATGGTGCGAGCCGCCACTCATGAGAAGGTCTCCGCTGCGATGCTTTTGCTGCCTGTGTCAATGCAGCAACCCATCGAGCGCGTCACTATGACCTGACCCCTCTGATCACCGACGTCGCCAACGGCAAGCCTGCGTCCGTGTTGCATATGCTCTCCATCCATGTTCGCATTGCGGTGCATTGCCAATTCGAGCCACTCGAGCAATCATGCACAATCAATGAGCCGAAGAGCTGAGACGCAGATTCTTTGCAACCGGGTCACCAGGCAGCTTGAGCCGTTTGACGAGCGCCTCGAACGCTCTTTGTCCGGGATGTGGTAGGCGATGCGATCGGGCGAGACAAGGACCTGCATCGTCGCCTGCGCCGGCATACATTGGCGCTCAGCGGGGCGGCTTTCCGAGCGCATTGCCAGCGCGGCGGCGGCCAGAGGGCTTCTGTGTGCCGACACCGCGGAGCGGGCGCACCGAGGAGAGGCCGAGGCTCAGCATCGCGGCCAGCCACAGCATTGAGGGCGGCAGAGGGCCGCAGCACGCTCGCAGGCAGCCGGCTGCTTCGAGCGGGCGCCCCCAGCTTCGAGCGGGCGCCCCCAGCTTCGAGCGGGCGCCCGGGACGGGTTCCCCGCTTCGAGCGGGCAGATGCGGCCGGGGATTCGCTTTCTGAAATGTCTGCCTCCAAAGGGGAAACGACTAACCTGATCTCAGAATCACTCAACGGGACACCACAGGGTGGTTGTTCTCTCTATCTCCTCTTCTAGCTCTTAGCATGAGCTGCGCCCGACCCCTTTTGCGCAGCAACACCTTAAAGTTTTAGGCCCTCCAAATTCGGATCGGAGCGTAGCGGAGTGGGGGCCCGAGTTTGAAAAGGGCGACGGACGCTTGCGTCCTAGCCTCCAACAACGCCTCCCCGACGCAGAGGGGCCCCCGGAGGGATGCTGCGACGGTGTATCATTCACTTTATGCCACCGTTGCATATCCGGATATGCAACGGTGGCATAAGGCGACTGATACACCGTCGCAGATGCTCAACCGCTCTACGCCACGCCGCTCGCCCATCTGACTTTTTTTTTCTGCACACAAAAAGACAAAATGGCATCGGGCACGGAGAATGTGTGGAAGGCAGTGGCGCCGATGGCGACTGCGCGCGTTAATTAATTCCGCCGCGGCAGTGCTGGACGGCAAGCTGTACGCTGTGGGCGGATACAACGGTGACCATCTCAGCTCGGTCGAGCGGTACGATCCGGCGGCGAACGTGTGGGAGGCGGTGGCGCCGAGGAGCGCGGTTTTCTTTTTTGACAAAAAAGAAAAAACATACACCCAAGGGAGGGATGGGAGGACGGCACGCCGCCACCACACAGGGATTTAAGGAGAGGAGTGTGGTACTAGCCGTCGCCCACCCTAACCCTTGGTCGTCTGCCTCTTTCTATCTCCCTTCGCAGTCCCTCGCCGATTCCGAGAGATTTTTAGCAATACCAAACAACTCTAACACTCACACGTCATTTGGGGCCTGGAGCCCCTGCAGACTGATCTTTATGGTGGTTTAAAGTTTGCGGGGGGGGGGGCAGCTTTGGGCCCTGTCCCCTGTTCACGCGCGCGCGAGACGTGCAGACAGGGTTGCCAGGTGAGAGCGAATGGCGCGGTTCACGCCTCGCACAACAGAGAGAGAGATGCGCTCTGCATGGTGGACATAAAAGAGAGCGAGTGCTTGGGCGAGTAGGCCGTGCGGTCGACGCTGCCGCACGCGACTTTGCGCGCGAGGCGGCGCAGCTTGAGAACGGCGGTGGGCGAGAAGCCGCGCCGCCGAATGTCTCGTGGAGCAGCAGGTTGAAGTTGTTGCGCTTGACAAAGATCGCGTCGTGGTAGAAACCGCGATGCGCCTTGACGTAGCCGTGGCCGTTCTTGTGGTCGAAGGGTTGGCCGGGTTGCCCGCGCACCTTGCAGCCCATGTTTAGGCGGCGGGCCTTCTCCTCGGTGTTGCCGAAGGCGTAGGAGTGGCCAACGGAGGCGGGCGTGCCGCCACTCGAGGCGTTGCCAACGCCCGCCGAGGAGGTCTTGAGGAGGGGCGTCCAGAGCTTGACTTCATTCACCTCATCGCATCCTCCCGGGCCAGCGTGGGGTTCCGCGAGGTCGACCTTGTACCCCTCGTTGTACTGCCGGGTGAGCTCTAGTTTCTCCTTGTCACCGTGCACGACCGGCGCGGTGGCCGGGGCGCGCATCGCGTCCGCCCAGGCGGCGAGGACGCCGTCGTGGGGCCGCCGGTGGTGGGCCTTGTTGCAAGTTTGTTGCCGATTCCGCTGCAACCTTCAAGCATGCCACCTCGCGGTCGTCCCACTCTCGTCGTTCTCCCTCCTGTCGCTTCCTCCTCTTGTTTTTGTCCTCCTCTGTCGCGAAAGAAAGAAAGAAAACAGCCTCGAAGGGAGGGATGGGAGGATGTCGTGAAAAAAGAAAGAAAACGGACACTCCAAGGGAGGGATGGGAGGACGGCACGCAAAAAAAGGCTCCGCAAAAAAGGGCGCAAAAGGGCAAGGCCACGCCTGGGTATCTGTCCCTGTCCCACTTCCGCACCCCTGCACCCTGACGCGATGGCGGGCACACCGCCTGCGTCGCCAAGCACGTCGCGGCACGTCGGCGTCGACGTGCGCCCGCTTCCCGATCGGGCACGCGACTGCGCCCTCGCGGCGGGCGGCGTCGGCGCGGTGTGGGGCGCGACGGTCGCCGCCGCCGAGGGCGGCGCGATTCCACATGGCGCCGCCTGGGTCGGTTCGCGGTGGGCAGCAGCGGCCGCGGCCTTCATCGGGCTGCGTCACCTGATCCTGCAGGGCGATTGGCGGAACGACCGCGAGGCGGTCAGCGCCGTCGCCGCAGCTGCCGTCGGTGGCGGCGCAGCCGCGCTGCAGCGCGCATGGCGGCGGCTTCGCATCGTGAGCGCCGTCTCGTTTGTGACCGGGTTTGGCGGGCACTATCTGCACCGGTGGTGGCTGCGTGCGCGCCTCGACTGGATCGAGGGCGAGACAGCCGCCACCGCCGCCACCGCCACCACACGCCTGATGCAGGACCGGCTGCGGCACGAGCCGAGAAACTACGAACTTCGCTTGGCCGCGGCTGCAAAGTGACCGCGCCTTGCAAGTTGGCGTCTCCGCCGTCACCACGTTGCCGCGCGCTCCCCGCGCGCTCCCCGCCACGTTCACTCTTGCCTTCCTCCGACGGTGCATCATTGTGGGTCTATCTAGCCGGATCAAAGAAGTGGATGAGCAGGTCTCCGGTCAGAGACGGTCCGGTGGGGCACAGTGCGCGCGGTCTGTGCTGGTGTCGTGTGCGGTGCCAGCTCGTGTGTCGTGACCGAAGTCCGTGTCGTCGGATCTTAAAACTATAACAAACAAAAACATGTAGTCCGTCTCGCCCTGCGCGGTCTGCCCCACCTTTCCGCACTACCAACTCGGTGGTGTGCGCGCCGCCCCCACACATGGCCGCCCCCCGCGCGGTCCGCGGTTCCCCCCGGTAGGGTCAACGCGCTCACACACCTCACACACACCGGCCGTGCTGCATGGTCAATCCTCCGTCTCTCACTCCCTGGGACCCGACCCCTCACGCCCGGCCCCGCGGTGGAGCAGAGCCGCCCACGCGGTGAGGGCCCGCCGCCGCGCCTCCTTGTCGAGGGTGAGGGCGATCACGTGCGAACCCTTGGCCTCGATATGCGCCTCCAGCTTGCCTGCCGCCCGAAGCGCCTTCGGGAAGACATAGAAGCAAGGTAGAGCCTAAGTCTCGGACGAATGAGGGAGAGGTGTCTAGGAGAGGCGACTCGCCTCGGCGTACGCGGCGCCCTCAGCGCGGAGCGGGTCGGCGGAGGCGGTGATGACGAGGGTAGTCGGGTGGGCGGGTGAGCCGAGCACGTCTGGCTCCGCGAGCCGGGGGAGCACGAAGAAGCGATCGGAGACGGCGTCTGGCGGGGTGCAGAGGGGGCGGGGGCGGCAGTTCTGAGAATGTGGAGGCGGGAGGTGTCGGCGCGGCTGCGCAGACACCCGCATGCTCGAAAGGGTAGTAGACGCTCCAGCTCCACCTCAGCCACGCCACCGGAGCAATGGTCGTAGCGCTGTTGACGGCAAAGGAGGCAGAATTGGCGCGCGGGTCGAGACACGGCTCGTCGAGGAACAGCGAGCGCACAGCGACCCCGCGCCGCGCGGCGTCCGTGGCGACGGCGGCGGCGACGCCTGCGCCTGCAGACGCCCCCGCCACGTGGATAGCCGACGAGTCAAGTCCGATCGACGCCGCGCGACTCGCGTCGCAGATGTACTCGAGCGCGGTGGCACCGTCGAGAGGTGCCGCCGGAAACGGGTGCTCGGGAGCGAGGCGGTACTCGACGCTGAGCCACGCAACCTGTTGGGTGGCTCGAAGCATGAGGACGAGTCAGAGGGTCTTGTCGGCACTCGGCGCTGAGCAGCCTTGGGCGCCTCGGCCACCATCGCGGCCAGCTCGGCGGCAAACGTGGCGCCATGCGAATCGCGCGCCGTCGAGAGCGTGTACCCTCCGCCGTGGAACCACAGAACCACTGGAAGCAGCGTGTCGCCGCTGCCAGGTGGATGGTACAGTCGCGCCTCGAGAGTGGAGCCGTCGGCGCGCGACATCTGAAGCAGCGTGAGCCTCCACTCGGAGAAAACGGAATCATGCTGCACACCATCTCTCTGATCCATCTTTCCTCGGAGCTCAAGCAATAGGGAGAGGTCGCCTGAGAGGGCGGCGGTCGTCATGCGCTCGAGGGGGAGCAGCAAAGGGAAGGAGAGCTGAATGAGCCAGTCGATGAGGCCAACCTCCGGGTGCCGCCAGAGTGGCGTCTCTTCTCCGTCGGTGGGTGGCGAGAGGAACGGGATGCGCATACTGTTGACCGAAACCACCGGCCAGGGTTCCAACTGTAGAGCTCTACCAGACCGTTTTGAGTAATAGGCGAAGCCGCCGGTGGCATCTCTTTCCACCCAAGAAGCCCGTTTGGAGGGATGGGCGGCAGTGTGCGGGCGGTGAGTGCTAGTCCTCTCATCAATTTAGAACGAACGCCCCTCCCTCCCTTCTTCCCTCTACTAGCTGAGGGGCTCGCTAAACGCTCGCCGAGCTCCATTCTGTGCAACACCACAACACCACCTCCTCACTAATCGTCAGGGGCGCGGAGAGCGCAGTGCACTACGGTGAGGCTGCGCAGCGGGGGCTCGCCCCCTGCACCGCGCTCAGCGGCGTATAGGGGAGAGGGCGGTCGGTGGCGGCGGCGGCGAGGCGCGAGGCGGTGGCGGCGGTGGTGCGGGCGGCGGGATGACAGGGGAGGCGGCGGGATTGACAGGGGAGGCGGCGGCCACGAGCGGAGCGGCGCGAGAAGGGGGGGGGTGCGACGGTGTATCATTCACTTTATGCCACCGTTGCATATCCGGATATGCAACGCGGTGGCATAAAGTGAATGATACACCGTCGCAAAACTGCATTGGGTCTCGAGTTCGAATCCCGCAGTTCGACTCGGCGCAAAAAACCCAGACGGGCGTTGTCACTGGTTCGAAACCCACCTTAGCGTTCACCTGCTATCCGCCGGTACCCAAAACCGGATGCATCTCCGCACGACCCAGGAATGCAGTTTTGCGACGGTGTATCAGTCGCCTTATGCCACCGCGTTC